CATTTTCAAGCATGTAAAACCCACAATCTCTTTTTTTCCTTAATTGCATTGCTTCAAGTAGTTAATGTGATGTAAAACATATTGCATTCTTGATTCTATGAGTTGCCTTTGTAGCATGCCCCTCGAGGCAAGCCCGAACAAGTCTATGTTAGGGTCTGAAATTCTTATTTCTCACATAGACTAAAAAAAGCAAAAAGTGCAAAATTTTAAAAAGGCGCACGCCTGGGCTGAGGCGCAAGGCGCACCAGGCGCATACCTTTTGAAAGAGGTGCGCCTAGGACCTAGGTGAGGCGCATAAATCACTGGTCACATGCATAAAAGACCATCTATAGCACCTGTTAGGAAAAGTGATCTGTTACACTTTGAAGGGGCTAGAGGAGCTAGGTGTAGACCAAAAAGGATTTGGGTGGAACTGTGGAAGTGATAAGAAATGATTTAAGTGCCCATAATATAGTGATGGATATGGCATTGAACAGAATGGAATGGTGAAACAGATCATTGTTTCTGTACTTCACATTTGATGAAGGGTTGTTTGATGCAAAAGTTAACAGATATGGATGGTAGAGAGACTTAATATTGTTATTGTTGATTAGCAACCACTGGTGCCATGCCTTTGTATTTGAACATTTTGGTTGGCCTGTCTTAGTAGCAGCTCTCAATGATTGTTATGTGGACAGCCACGAAGCCAGAATTAATTTTGTGTGGACAACCATGAACAAAGAATTAATTTGTCTAACTAGATTTATTTCTTTATTTATTGCTCACTACACATTTCTGCACATTTCCTCACACTGTATTGTTTGTATTCTTGCTATTACCTTGCTGGGTCCATGAGCTGAAAAAGAAAAGTGGTGTCCTTTCTGATTCTACAGGAAGATAAGATTGCTGTGGTTGTTGGTGCCGTTACTGATGATACACGAGTTTATGAATTACCTGCTTTGAAGGTGACTGCCTTGAGGTTTACAGAGACAGCCAGGGCTAGAATTCTTAAAGCTGGAGGTGAATGTTTGACCTTTGATCAACTTGCTCTCAGAGCACCACTTGGGCAGAACACAGTAAGTTGAATTCTGACTGGCTTCCTTATTTATGTGTGTTTTTCTTGCTATGGATGTTCATCTACTTCAGTAATTGGTTGAAAATGGATATATTGAATGTGTATACTAGTTGCTGGAAAAGTTTGGGTAACATTTCACTTGAAAGGACATACCATTTACACAGGAAGTGAAATCTCATCCATCTCGATTGGAAACAATAGTGGTTTTAGTAGGAAGCAGACCTGGTGGGATTGAATGTTCACTAGATGCTGTTTCTGTCATAGCTTGAGATGGGTTACTGCATCATTTGATCGCCAAGATAAGATTGAGATCTGATGGTAGGGTGTAGGCTTTGATTCTCAACCCTGGATGTCAGTCTTAATTTGCACATCCTCTATTTCATCCTGTACACTGTTGATGCTACAATGGCACCACTGGGACTACTCAAGATGCTTTTCACTTTTAGATCTTTTTATTAGTAATTCCCAGTTGACATGTTTTGACACTTGTCTTTTCATCCCTTGGCATGGATTGATCAATTTTTTATTAGTAATTCATCAAGATTAAGCAGCACAAGTCTCCCAAGTTTGATTATTCAACCAAACAAAGCACAACGTGTCTTGAACATTTGTGCTTGTTTCATTACACCATCGTCTAGCTTTCATTGTCTTCAATCATGCCAGGTTGCTAACAACCTATTTTGCCCCAAGGGGGCATTCTTTTTCTGGATTTTGAGAGGGGAGAAAGTTGGTCAATGGGATTTTGGTTCCCATTGACCAAAAATCTCGTGTTCATTTTTCAGATTAATGTGGGGACAGGGTAAATTTATTTTCCTAGGTATCATTTACCCAGGTAAGTGAAACTCATCTCCTAGGTGGGTAAATAACTTTCTCACCYATGAAGAAAGTTGTTAACACTTGAATGGGACAAAAATGCCCTTTTTAATAAAGGATTTTTATGACTAAAATGGTCATTACCTTATTTACCTGAGAAATAAAAGAACACGAGTAAATGCACTTATCCGGATAAGTGTTTTCTAGGAAAAACTTATCAGGTAATTGCATTTACCCGGATAAATAACTTACTGAAAAGTGAACGGGTAAATAACTTACAAAATTATTTGTATACGTTGTTGAAGCTGCACGTTGTTTTTCTGTATAGGTTCTTCTTAGGGGACCCAAGAATGCAAGAGAGGCAGTGAAGCATTTTGGCAAGGCTCCTGGTGTGCCTCATAGTCACACCAAACCATATGTCCGCTCAAAGGGTCGGAAATTTGAGAGAGCTAGGGGACGGAGAAACAGCCGAGGCTTCAGCAATTGAGGATGATACTTGGTTTTCCATTCAAGATAACTTGTTTTGGGCATCATAATTTTTTGTTCTGGGATGTCTTTGATTAGTTTTGGTTTGGCTTGCAAAAGCCCCATGTAAAATCTTCGAAGTGGGGGTTGGTTCTTCGTTCTTGATGATGGCTGAATGCACATTTTGTGTTTCACTTCAACAAATAGTAACACTGTTTAGGATAATGATGCGCTGCTGGCTTCTGAGTAATATATGTTTTGTCATGTACTTGCTATTATGTTGGGCAAATTATTGATCCCTCCACGTCACAATTTTTTATGCTATTAATGAAATCTCGATTTTACGCCTTTACTATTATCAGTATAAATTAGAAATCACACTGGCGCCCCACATGCTCATCTCAGGATGCACTGGAAAAACATCTCCCATATTTATCATGGGGGATATTCCCAATACATGGGTGTGAGCATTAACGATACAAAGGCAGTGGTATATCGGTACTTCTAACGATGGGTACTCTGCCAGTTTCTTTCCGAAGTTTTGGTCCATAATTGGAGATGGTGTTACAAAAGCCATCCAGCAATTAGCCTAACGATGGGTACTCTGCCAGCTTCTTTCTGAAGCTGTATACTTCACAAGCATCGTATTCATCCCCAAGTGTAAACACCTAGAAATTATCTTTCAATATAGACCAATTAGCCTAACTAATGACATAGTACCTGCGAATAAATTGCAATTGTTTCTTCTTAAGATGGTGGAAGAGAGSCAAGGCACATTCTTTAAGAATATAATGATTTCTGACAATGTGGCTATTGCACATGAAGCTTACAACTTTTTAAAGTCCAAAAGGAAAGGTAGGACTTTCTATATGGCAATCTAGATTGATCTTAGTAAAGCCTATGATAGGCTGGATTGGCAATTTGTAATTGAAGTTCATAGGAAAATGGGTATATATGAACCAACACTGGTTGAATCTTATTTATGGTTGCATGTCCTCAGTGAGTTTCACGTTCAATATCAATGGAGTTTAAAAAAGGGTGAAGCCGTACSGGGGAATCTGGCAAGGTGACCCTCTCTCGCCCTACCTTTTTATCCTAGCAGCACAAGCACTCTTAGAGGCTATCCAAAGAGCTGTATCATTAGGACATATTGAGCCACTCTGCATCAAAAGAGGTACCTCACCACTCTCTCATTTACAATTGCTTTCTTTTTGTTAGAGCAGATATCCAAAATGCGGATATGATCCAATCGGTCCTTCATGAATTTTGCAATACTTCAGGACAACTAATAAATTATAATAAGTTGGAGATTTTCTTTAGCCGGAACACTCCAAGGAAGTTTTGAAGGATGATCTGCAAGATGCTAAGAATGAGAGAAAAAATTGAATTCTAAATACCTAGGGCTATCTACTCTCATTGGTCATAACAAAAGGAAAGCTTTTAGTGAGATGGGCTGCAAGTCTTCTTAGCGGATAAGTGGGTGGAAAGTGGAAACAGAAGCTACTTACCCAAGCCAGTAGGGAAATTCTTATCAAAACTGTTGCCTCGACTTTGTCTATTTACTACATGAGCCACTTTAAAATCCCAGTGGCTACATGTGATAACATCAACCGGAAGTTTTCAAGTTTCTTCTAGGGTCAGAAAACAAATGAGAGGAAATTACACTGGCTAAATTGAAATAAACTCTGCCCAGTCAAATCTAAAGGAGGTATGGGTTTTTAGAACCTAAAGCTTTTCAATTGGGCTCTCCTTGGGAAAATGGCATGGAGGCTACTAAATAGCCAGGATTCCTTACGGGGAAAACTTCTAATATCTCTATATTCATCTACATTGCCACTACTAACTTCAAATTTCCCCCTCGCTCCTCTTGGCTTTGGTAGAGCATCACTTACGGTATGAAACTTCTCAAAAATGGTATCTTTTGGTAGATTGGTTCAGGTTCTAACATACTTATTTGGGAAGACCCTTAGCTACCCTTTTCGGGGGATTTTAAAATCCATTCCCCCAAACCCCAACGATGTGAGGTTTCGAAAGTCAAGGATTTGATTTTATGTAACCCATGCCAGTGGAATCAGACAATGTTGGCTAGACTGTTCTTAACATCAGAGGTTGCAGGTATCTTAACTATACCACTGAGCATGGAAGAGGAGGAAAATAAATTCATCTGGGCTTACTCAAAAGATGGTCAGTACTCGGTGAAATCTGGTTACCAAATTGCCTATAAGTTAAATGAAGAAACAAGAAGGGTAGCCAATAATCAAATCTTAACACAAGTGCCACCAGCTCTATGGAAGAAAATTTGGCAGTCGAAAGTTCACCCTAAAATTAAAAACTTCATTTGGCGGGTGTGTTGGCAAGCCATTGGTGTCGACACAAAGTTGAAACATCGACAAATAAAGGTTGATGGGATCTGCTCAAGATGTGGACAAGAGGAGGATGTGAAACACCTCCTTATCAATTTCTCGTTTGCGAAAGCAGTCTGGTTTCAACCCCGTTTGGCTTTACCTTTGAGCGTGTGGAAACTAGGAACTTAGGTAATTGGATCATGTCTTGGTTTCAAAAGACAAGCTACCCTAATGAGGATACTGATACTTGGGAAACTTTGCAAGCAATCCTATGCTGGCAGATTTGGAAGGCYAGGAATGATTTCATGTTTAAGGGAGAAAGCCCAGACCTACTGTCGGTGGTGAGGAAAAGCACTAGTTTGTGGAAGGAACTTCTACAACTCATAGAACATTTGGAGCCAAAAACTGCAACGAACAATAGATGGCACCCYCTCCTAACCAATGGATGAAGGTGAATTGTGATGCAAGCTTCGATGCATCCTCTAGGTGGGTGGGTGTTGCTTGCATCATAAGGAACCAAGAAGGAAAAGATGTTGGTGTTCGAGGAGATCGAGTTCGCTGCCAATCAATTGTTGATGTTGAAGGAAGATCCATTCGACTGGGCTGGTGGGAAACTCTAAAAGAAGGGCTAGATAGAATTCTAGTGGAATTTGATTCTCTAGAAGCTGTTTTAGTCGTCAAATCTATAAACAGTTTGATTTTAACCCCCTGAAAATTGTGTGGTCAGATATTTGTAGCCTCTCAAGGCGTTTTACCCAATCTAAAGTCCTCCACTATGGTAGGAAGACAAATAGGATAGCTCATCATTTAGCTCGTGCAGCCCTTTCCCCTTATTTTAATTGGTTAATGGCAAACCATTTCTCTACTTGGTTTGGCCCATTTGTGTTCCTCTGTTTTGAAGATATCTACCCCCCTTAAAAATTTCTCTAAATGAATTTCTTCAATCTCTATTGCCAACCCATTCCTAACTTGAAAAAAAAATAAAAAAACTAAGCTTGAGTTGGTTGAAAATTACATTAGAAAGAATCGTGTATAAGGAGAATTCACAGATGAGTTACGTACTAACTGGCTGACTAGTGACATTTGGGCTTTTACATATATGTGCAAAAAAAAAAAAAAAAAAAACCTGATTGGAGTTCCTAAGTTTATATACTTGCCAAAAGTATACAAAATTTGCGCCAAACTTTTGAGATACTATCCATGAGTCCATGACCATTCAGTTCCTTCATTTGAAAGTAACTTGGTCTCAGTTTGGGAGGAGTACAAATACAAATATGTATAGAGTGTAAAACCTTTTAATTTATATTATTTTCTATATATTTATACTGTACATATTTATATTTGTACTTCTTCCAAACTGAGATTTAGGCTCAATTTGGAAAGGGTACAAATACAAACATCCAGAGTGCAAAACCTTATATTTTATATTATTTTCTATCTATTTCTGAAGTGAAAAAAAATTATTTTCTATCTATTTGTACTGTACATATTTGTATTTGTACTTTTTCCAAACTAAGCCTTAAATGCAGTTATTTTGGTCTTAAGACTCAGTTTGGGAAGAATATAAATACAAATTTGTATTATGCAAAAATCTTGTATATTGTATTTCTAAATCTTCTATTTACATTATGCATATTTGTAATTGTACTTTTACCAAATTGAGCCTAGTAGAATGTTTGAAGTTGGAAAAGTAAATTCTTTTAGACTTCAACGGTTGTTTTTAATGAGAATTTATCACTTCATTTTAAATGTTAAATGATTATTGTTTGACAAGGTCCTTTTTTTTTATTTCCAAAATACGCTCAAGGTAGAGTGATAAGTTATTAATCAAATATTAATAATATTAATTTAACAACAATAAATAATAAAATAATATTAAGATATTAACAAAGCTAGTAAAAAATAAATTTAAAATGCTAAAGTATTAATAAAATATTAAAGAATTGTATAGAATACTACTAAGAAAATGAATATTTATAAATACTTTTAAATATATAAATAAGAAAAATATAAATAAAATATACTAACATATAATAAAATATTTAATATAAAATGATATTCATATTAACTAGTATTTATTCTATAATATACTAACATAAATTCATTTGTAGGGGAAAAATAGTGAAATAAGCATGTTTTAAGCAAAACAAAAAAAGCGAAAATCTACTTTCTTCTGCAATAGTAATATGTAGGTTTGCATGAGTTGTGCTGCAATGGTAATATTTTCTTTTTGATAAGCCAAAAAAAAAAAAAAAACTCTAATCAAATAAATTAAATACATGAGAGTTCAGCCACTCTGGGGAAGATCCCCACCAACAACAGTGATCATCAAAACATTTGAGCAGCTATTGTGAAGGATCTACAAATAAAATATTATTTAAGGTTCAAAAAATTTTCAGAAGCTGATAAAATTTGGTTCATCAGATCGTTATACTTCTGGTGCAACTCTTTCCCTTGAGATTGTATGGACTGTTGCCACTTTATCGTCAGTACAGAACAGCTCCTCCAACCTTTATCTACAGCAAAAACCAAACCTTATATATATATATATATCACCATCAATTCTGCACAAAATGACCCATCCACAACCCCCAACAAACCCACCTGCAGCCACCAAAATTCTTTATTGTTACTATAGATGCAGAAACCATATAAAACATCATCCTTCATGAAAGTGCCAGCTATATCACATTAAATTATATTTTCATAACATTCCATACTTATATTGATATTGCTTAAATTCTGATTAGAGGTATGCCCCATACTATCCTCATTATTCCTCATCACTGCATTCAAGACAAAATTCAGCGAAGACATATCACCCAATTAACATGCCATCTGATATTTGAAAAAATGGCATCATTCCTGGCTTGGATTTCCAAACAAAATAAAATGCCACGGCAAGCCATTGCAATATCTCATTGGATTCACTTAACATCAAGCCTGAAGAACTCATCAAGAAAACCAAATACTGAGATACAGGATGAGAACATTTCTCAGGGATCAATAGGGCCCATGGACTAGCATACAGGACAACTCTAGTGCAAGGGCAAGAACAAAAATAAATGACTAAGAGAATTCATTCTCCTGCTGGTTACACAAAACAGTCATTTTCCACATATTAATGCCTTTAACAACCAAATCCATTTTTCAACAGACAAATTTCCTGACCAATCTCCACATAAACAGTTTAAACTTGGGGGGAATTTTTAGTTTTCAAATTCTTTTGATTATTTTTAACACATCTTGGTCTAAATAGACATTATATGCACGCCATTCATTTTCTAGAAATTGTTTTACTATAATTTTTTCATGATGACTCTCCATCTCTATACCCAAACATCCTCTTGCTTTTTCCTCATGATGGTTGTACCCAAAAACTCCTTTTTTTTCTGCAGGTCCAATGGGAGACCTATATATTTATCATTCTCTCATAAATCCAAGGGATATTTCAGACATTAAGGTTTGAATGATTGTTCACTTGAACACCAACCTCACTAAAAATATCTTTAAATGCCTTGRCAACTTTTGAAGGAAATTTATAGTTCCTTGGGAGGTATCCACCCTGCAAAACGTTTGCCCACAACGAGTTATTATCAGTCAAAAATCTCCAAGCTAATTTATATATTAAAGCCTTGTTTAGTGTTGCAGCCTTTCTAAATCCCAATCCACCTAAATTTTTTGGAGCACGTAACTTCTCCCAACTTGCCCATTTAACCTCCTTTCTTTGTTCTTTGTGAACCCTCATTCCACCAAAAATCTTTTAAATTTTATCTATTTCATTTATGGATTTTTTTTTTCGGAAATTGGAGCACATTCATGCAATGCACAGGGACTATTTGCAAGGCTGATTGTACTAATGTCTTTTCACAGCATAGGTGAAAGCCCATCACACGAATAGGTTTTTTCACCAGCACCTAAAAGCTTAAGCTGTTAAGTGAGGTCCTTGAATAGGTTTTGTACTYTAACATGCCCCCTCACACGAAAGGCCATTGGGCTTGAAGTATGGACAGTACAGGTGCACCCATGCCTTATTCTGAAACTTAATTAATTATAATGGAGTGACGAGAATCAAACACTAGACCACTTGGTCAAAGTGGCTTTGATACCTCTCTATTTGACTTGCCAAACAACAAAATGTCACCCACAAACATTAGATGTGAAATACTTGGAGCATCTCTATGAATTTTGATCCCTTGACATGCATCTTGTTAATTAGCCTTTGCAATCAAGCCAGATAAATCTTTCAGCTCGTACCATTCCTTTGAAAACCCCAAAGACTTCAAAATCCACATTATTTAATCCCATTCAATGGAATAGAAAATATCAAGTTTTATTGCCATTAATCCTCCCCCAGTTTTCTTTATTTTCATAAAACGGATTAGTTCCTAAGCTATAATAACGTTATCATGGATTAATCTACCCAGAACATAAGTTGATTGAAAAGGGGAAACACATTTTTTCCAAAAGTAGTTTTAGCCTATTTGCTAACAATTTGGTTATAATTTTATACAGCACATTAGATAGATTTATTGGCCTAAAATCTCTAACCTTAGAAGGACTATTATGCTTAGGTATTAAAATAAGAAAGATATGATTAATTAGAAAACTTTTTGTTTAGAAAGAAATCACAGACAAACTCATATAAATCATCACCATTAGTCCCAAAAACGATGATGCACAAGAGCAGGTATTCCATTTGGAAGGCAACTTCACTAAGGCTTCTTTTTCACTTTTGGTTATAATAGAATCAAACAATTGTCGAAATGCTTCAAAATCTTCATATCTTTGAGAGATTGAAACAAGGATTTGAAATATTGCACAAAATTCCTCAAAATTTTTTCATGATCAGAAATCCATTCTCCTTGTTCATCTCTATTCCAAGAGATTGTGTTCCTATACCTCCTAAACATAAACATGGTTGCTTTGTAAAAATATTTAGTATTTAAATCACCACACTAATTGTCTTGATTTTTGCATCCATAAAGATTCTTGTTGATTCATCCATTTAAGCTTCAACTTTTCTAATTGTTTCATCATGGTAAACTCTTCCATTGAATTCTGCTCCTCTTCTAATTTTGTCAATTGCTCATTAACCCATTCAACTTTCCGGTCCACATCCCAAACATCTATATATTCCAATGTTTTAAGTTTCTTTTGGTACCATTCATTTTAACATTTATCCTATGGCCAGCAAAACCTATAACCCTAACCTACCATCCGTCGTTAATTATATTTTCACACATTCATCCTCTTGCAGCCATGATTCAAAAAATCTAAATGGTTTTGGTTTGCTGGCTGATTGTGATTTCAGATTTAGAGCAATGGGTTTATGATATGAACCCATCTTGGATAGRCTTGCGTTTCTAAGACGGCTGAACCAATTTAAGCATACATGGGTCCGGATGTAGTAGGCATGTTAGGTAAGTACAATGAGTGAACACGTAATAATTGTGTGACACATGTTCTGGTTAATGTGTCTTTCATCTAAACGTTTTTATTCCGTTAGACAGAAATTATTCATTATTTTATTATCTTTGTCAAAATAATTAAAAATAAAAAACAATAAAAAAAAACATAAAATGAATCCCAACTTTCAATATGTTTAGGTATTCCTTTGAAATTCTATGCCAACATTCATTCAAGTCAATATTGAAGTTCCCAATTACACTCATCAAAATAATTTGCCAGCATTTCTGTAAAATATTCCCAAATTTTAGCCTTTTCCCTTTTATGGGGTTCAGCATACAGTAAACCCAACAACCAAGGTTGAGATCAGCTTGAAATGAATTAACAGAAAAAAGAATACACTTCGACGAAGCATTCAAAATATCCACCTTTCCAAGAAGTAATTAGGATATCTTAATTAGTCGTCCAATAAGACTTTGGACTTTTAATTCGGGATTTTTAGTTTCAGAAAGAAAGATGATATCCGGTGCTTGCTTTTTACTCAAGTTTTAAAGATTTCTGTAAAACATCCTTCCTAGCAGACTGTGCATAAATCCTACAATTCCAATTAAAAATCATGAAAGAATTTACTTTTACTAACTCTTAAATTCTTTTTTGGATAATCCACCTGTTGACTGTGCATAAATCCTAGGGCCTGCACATCATTTCTCGTAGAATGACAAAGGATCACTGGATTCACCAATTTCCTTAGTACTTATACCCCGATTCCCCAAGCCAATTCCCCCCGTGTTCTTCCATTGTCTATTCTCAGAACACCTCTTTCTTTAACTTCTGTCAAACTATCTATTCTCTTCCAAACCTTTGCCACCATAACAGGAAATAAACAAAAACCTAAACCCGAAACTTGGGATCAAACAACAGTTTTACAAAAACTCCTCTAAAAACCAATCTTCTTATCGATTCCGTGCGCAAGCAAAGGCAACCCCTAAAGACCCCACCTAAGGGAAGAAAACGCCAGCTACGGAGAGAGAGTCCCACTAAAGGTGACAAACAAAACACAAGCCCTAAAACCAAATATTTAACAAAGTACAACCCCGAAAACACCGCTGAAGCTCAGACCATAATAACAACCAATGTGTTTGAACTGTCGTTGACCGTCAGCTGGACGGTCAGACCAGAAACCGTTTAGACAATTGGTTCCTTTTTATCCCAAACTTTAATCCTTCGTCAACAACTTATTAATCCGGGAAATCGAACTATCAACCTGTTTAACAGTTTTTAGCCAATTTATATTTTAATTCTTTTTATTTTTTATTTTTATCAAAATGAGCCATTGACCCTCTAAAACCGGGGGCGAGAACAATTCCAGTTGTGACAACGAAAAACAAAGTAAACACCTCCAAATCTCAGACCATAGTAATTAGTAACATGACAAACAACAAAGCAAAGTAAAAGAGAGGAGAAGAGAAGCTTACCCACCCGGTTATTTAAATCAACGTTAAAAAAAAGGCTTTCAGAAAAATGAAAAATAGGGTTTAGGCCCTTGGGTTTACATCGCGCGTCTTTTTCTTCGCTGGCGAGTGATTGAAGGGAGAAGAATGGGAGATGATGATGTTGGGAGTACGATGGAGATACTTGACCTAGAAAACGACCATGGCTACACCCCCATCTCATGCAGAGGAAGAAATAGAACCGACCCCGTCCTCGTCGAGCAATACTCTGAAGAAAGAGATCTTCATCAAGCAATACTCGCTTCCGTCCTTCAAACCAAACATGTCATAGACCTCTCGGACGAAGAAGATGATGAACCAATACAAGTAGTACCACCACTACCACCACGCCCGTTCGGAAGAGGCCCTTTACCAGTCCTTCTGTAAACGAAATTGGACAATCTTCCAATTCCCAGAAGCCCACAACCTTCATCTGCGACATCTGCGTTGAATCCAAGTCACTTAATCAGTCGTTCTGCATTAAAGGTTGCACCCATGCTTACTGTTGTGACTGCATAGTCAAGTACGTGGCTTCAAAGCTCCAAGAGAACGTAACATCCATCCATTGTCCTGAACCCACTTGTAACGCGGTGTTGGAACCTGAGTTTAGTCATTTGACCCTCCCTCCGGAGGAGTTTGATCGGTGGGAGAACGCTCTCTGTGAAAACTTAATTATTGGATCTCAAAGGTTCTACTGCCCCTTCAAGGACTGCTCCGCACTTTTAATTATTATAATTATTAATTATTATAATTTTTATTTTTTAAAATATCAAATAAAAAATATTTTTATATATAATTTTTTTATTTTTATAAAATATTTTTTCTCAAAATCGAGCTCGAGCCAAGCCGAGCTTGAACTTATGAATTTTTTACTCGAGCCGAGCCGAGCTCAAGGTTCTGGCTCGAACCGAGCTTGAACTCGAACTCGAACTGGAGCCTTGTAGAACAGTCTCGAACTGAGCTCGAACCTCGTACTATTTGACTCGGCTCGGCTCGAATCCACCCCTATTTTTACATCCTTTAACAGAAAGAAGACTTCTTTAGTGGGGATGCAATCTTCATTTAACAACAATCAATGAGAATCTTGCAATCACATTCCACAATGATTCTAGAGTCTACAACTACTTTCAAGCCTTCTAATATTGCCAAGGCTTCTGATTGGATTGGACTGATTGCTTTACTAGGATGGAAATCACCAACAAAAAATTTCCATCGTGGTTCCTCAAAATAGCTCCATAAGAATACCCCATCATTGTTGAATTGAAACTTGATCCCATGAACAGTGGGTGAAGAGAGGAATATGCAGAACCTTGCTATACTGATGAGAAAAAAAAAAAAGTGCAGAACCTTGTTAGTTGCAACTGTGCTGCCACAAAAGAGCTATAAGGCCAACCCATGGTATCCATTAAACAGGGGCCTTGGGACGTCCTATATTGGCCAAGTGATGTTACTGTTTATTAGAAGCTCAACAGCTTTTGGCGTACTATGTGTTGGCGTTTCCCCTCAAAATGCAAATGTTTAAAGGTTTTGAATCTAAGTGGAAAAAGTCTGTAGATTAGAAGCCTTCTTTCCTTAAGGGAATCCTGACTTTCCATGTCACACTCTTTCTCAGATTTTCTCCCTTTAAATTACACAATATAATTTCTTAAATATGTTTCCAGTGTTCATAAAAAATATAGTTAAAAGATGGAATATAGATTTAATATCCTGTATGTATATCGCATTAATATTTTGTTTGTGGAAATTTATTTGTATATCATGTAAATGGATCTATTAATATTAATTTGTTTCCTTCTGAACAATTTAATCTTGTTATTTCCAAAAGAAGTACTCCATTGATTTATTATTTTACTGCATGGAATCACTAATGCTGGAGAGGAAAAAAACGTTTAGGTGCTTTATAAGGCCATGTTTGGTTCACTGCTCCGGGCTTCATTCTTTTAATTCATACTCATTCTAGGCAAGAATGAATAATATTAGAGTGTTTGGTTATAAAGTTCWTGCCATAGGCCACATTCTTTTTAAAATGAAAAATCAGCCCCATAGCACAAAAATTGAGTAGCCTGCAACATGAAAAATAATCATGCCCCATCTTGCTCATTTTCAATCTTTGAGGAAACTTTGCCTAAAAAACTGCAGCCATAGATGTTTACTTTTGAGAAAGCACTTTTAGGAATGCACTTTTATAAAAGTACTTTTACATGAAAGCACTTTTACAAAAACACTTTTATTAAAGCACTTTTATGAAAGTACTTTTATAAAATCACTTTATGGTAGTATTTTTATGAAAGAACTTTTATAAAAGCATTTTTTACAAAACATCTATGCCAACTGGTAAATATAGACTGTCGGCCATCCACCGGTAAACATCTATGCCAACAGTTTTGGAGACGTAGGCTGGCGGTTTATGAATACCTACACAATTTTTTTTTTTTTTTTTTTTTTTTAAGAATGAAAATGAGCTACATAGGACACTTGACAGTCTGAAAAGAATTCATTTTAGGATAAAAGTGTTTGATTCATAGCAATCTTTTCTCATTCTGCTTTCTCTTTATTCATTTTTGTCCATTTTAGAATTTCATCTTGGGTAAGAATGAGAAAGAATGAGAATTGAACCAAACATGGCCTAAATCTTTACCTTTGGTTTTTTGCTTTCAGCTGCAGGTTTTCTTCCTGTACCATTATGRACCTCCTATTTCAAGATTATATCCCTAGTATCTTCCTAAAATTATTATCAGCATATGTTTAAAAACATTTTGTTATTTATTTGATATAAATTTCTGTCATCCTTCCTAAATTTTTTGATAGATATTTCTGATTTTTTTCTTCTTTTTATAGTCAAATTTGGTGAGGTTGGAAGAGGGGAGTTGAAGACAGGATGTGATCCCAGCTTGGTGGGATCATTATGTACTAGTGGTACCTTCAGCCCTCCTAATCTCTATGAATTAATCTGTTAATTTATGTGTACCTAAAGGTTACTACTAGTGCATAATGATCCATGCATTGAAATTTACAAGTCTTAATATTTTTAACAATTATATCTCACTAAACTTGGTTATGATTCATTTATCTTGGACAAACAATAAATGACATTCAGTTACTGCCATACTTGTCAAGGCAATGCTTAGGCAACAAAGCACCCTTGGAAGCTCGCCTTGCCTAATCGCCAAGAAATTTTGAATAGTGTGTTACAAACACTTTTATGTTTTTAATTTTTTGAGGTTATAATTATAAAATAAACATTATTAAATTAAAATATTCATTTTGTGTTTATATACTAATTTCTTTTTATTATTTTCTTATTTGTTGGGACTTAATCAACACAAACATTGATACATGCCGTATTGAACCCTCCAAGACTTCAAAACCTGAACTACTAAGTAAGGAAGAACTTAAAATGTTGTCTTATCAACACATTTTCTTCTTCCACCTTTTTTTTCTTATTTTCCTATAACAAAAATAGGGGCTCAGCCCCTATATTTTTTGAATTTTCTTTCTTCTTTTTCTTCTCATGAATATGTTGGAATATGTTGATTTTCTATACTTTAACATGAAGTTTATACTTTTCTTATGAAAATTATGGATATTTATTAAGGAAATATGTTTATGAAACTTAGGGAACTACCGTAGGATATATGTTTTTTACTTAAAAAAATCCGTCGCCTAGGCGACTAGGCGGCAAGGTGCCCCCCTTTTGCCTAGCTTCACCTTGGCGCCTTGAAAACTATGCCTGCATTTGTTTTCAGGATGCAGATATGTTAGCAAGTTTCTTAATGTCTTATTGTTACTGTTAAGTAGTACTACTCAACAATGTTAACCAATTTGAACATTCAAGCCTTTTCATGCCATAATGGAAAATGAAGGTCAGCAGGTTTACTATTAATACTAATATTGTGATGGATTCTGTAATTGAATCAACTCTTTATTTCACCAAAAAAAAAGCTCTTTAACATCACTATGACATTAGTATTAGTGTATTACTGCTAAGATCTACTCTGTAAATGAATTTGTACATTATTCTTGTAGGTCATGTGTGTAGCACATCATGCAATGATACATCTAAATGCTTTCTAGTCTTGCTTGTTTCCGAGTTTTGAAAGGAAAAGGAAAAATCTTGCCTGTTTCCCTTTCTCTCTCAGTTTGAAGAGTGCTGAGCAAGTTTTTCAATTTTTTCCTCTCAATTTGTAATGCTGTTTTGAGTATGAAGTATGTGCAAACTTGATTCTTGATTTTTTCTTTGTACTTATTGCCCATCACTATTTTGTTTGTGGAATGTTCTCTCTCTCTTAACAATTTAATATTGAATTTCAATTGTTTACCTTAGGACAGTTGCCAAGCAAGCAACTTGAGATTCTGCTTATCAGTTCTCACTATGCTCAACAAGTGTTACTCCCAACCATTTGGATTAGGTTACATGTAGCCTCTCTTGCCATCGTTTTCCAACCTAGCTGCTTGATATTCTGTTTTATTATTAATTCTAACTCTACTCAACAACCTTTATTCCCAATATTTAGACTTAGCTGTACAAATCCTGTCTTTCCATTGCTTTCTATATTACCAAGAAGCATGTCTCCTATCAAAAGCATTCTATATTAACTCATGTTTTCAGATAAAGGGTTCTACTATCATGCTGGACAGACATGATACCAGGAAAACTTACAACCAATCAACCAGCATCAAAAAAATAGGAACCAATCGGGTGGTTTTTCACAAAAATTCAGAGAGTTGTGATTGGTCAAAGCCTCTCCGGTATGATGTTTTTCTGGCAACATAGATTTTCCCTTAAATAAAATTCTCAAACTATTTATTAATTCTTTCACGTTTATGGATGTAATTATCAAATTTTGGCAGGCAAGATGATGATGATTCCTGATTATGCCTACTCTGATTTATATATGGTCACAGGTGTGGATTTGCCTTTTGTTACAAGTGTGGAGCTCCAAACAATCATAACTACCATTACTGCTCCAAATGCGGGTATTAGTTTTTGGAAATTGCAAGGCCATATCCATCTCCTTTTGTGTAAGTGTAAATAGATAATTGGCATATATATATATATAACCAACTCAAGGTGGATGTAGTCATGTAGAGAAGCATACGCATATATTGGAAGTTGAAAACTTAAAATATAGGGAGAATTATAGTGTAATAATAGTTCAGGGTAGGAAATGAAATTTGTCCTTTTAGTTAGTTATTATGTATGAGTTGTACTTGTGCTCTCTGAACAAAGACTGAATGTGCTGTAGACAGTAGTTGAGATGAGGATCATATTCATCTATGTTTAAGCATTCGATACCACTTCATACATGGAGGCTGCTGGATCATCGAAGGGTTGAGGCGGGCCCAAATGCAGCTTCGTATAATAGGGTGAACAGTACGCCATTAGTGTTCAGACATGTGTTAATAGAAGAAGAAAAAACTGAGTAATGGCTATGCATAGGCAAGAGATTAAAAAATCGCACGTAGCAGTGACATAGTGTATACGTTGTTGTTTTACTGCTGGAGACTGGAGCTGGAGCCTGAGCGGCGGAGGCCGGAGGTCCACACCAAATACTCTGCATGTGATGTTTGCCTAAATATGATATCCAGAATTGTGCCCCCCCACCCAAGGCCCAACTCATGTGGCCTGGATTTTGGATTTTGGACTTCGGAGGAAATTTGTCCCACCAAAATCTGGCTGGCCGTTGGCTAAAGACAAGTACACAACAATGCCATTCTCCTAACACCCATGTCCCAACCCATTACGCAAATGAATTCTTTTTTTTTTTTTTTTTTTAAGGTACCAACCGGAAATTGGAAAATGGAATCACCTTACCGCCTAAACCTTTGGCTGTGTTTGGAAAGGGGGTAAATTTACATATCCACTGGTTTTGAAAAATGCAAACCAATTTGTTTTTACATGTTTGATTTACACTCTTCTTGTTTGGCATCAAGATACAAAACAATCGGTGTGCTTTTGCTGTCATTTGGAAACTTAACCGATGGTTTAAGTACCTGCCTTTCTCACATGAAGCCCACAATGAGCCAATGTTGCGTCAATACCTACTTTTTACTCCCAACATGTTTCTATTGCAAAGAAATGACCTTTTGACTATTTACATGCTGTCTGAGGTAAACATCTGATGTAGGAGTAAGGCTTCCCTTACCGAATTTTTATTCTCATTTAATAAATATTAAGCTGGTCATTGGCCTAATGACCTGTGTCGCTCAATGACCAGCTTATATCCTAACTTGTATGAATATCATTAAAATTCATTGAAATTCCACAAAAAAAAAAAAATCACTAAAATTCACTGAAATTCCATAAAAAATCATTGAAATTCCACATAAAAATGTACTGAAATTCCACAGAAAATGACTTAATTCCACTGAAACTCAGCACCCAAAATTCATTCTAATAAGGAATCCTTTCAAGGTAAAAAAAAAAGGCTTAAAAAAAGAATAATTTTTTAGCTCAAAACTCACTCTTCGAACAGTGACTCTTTGTAAAAGAATTTAACCAGCATAGCTTAAATGCATCTTAAATTCTTAATTCCATAAAAGATACTTAAAAAAATAGGATTTTGAGTCAAAACAATCTTAGTGGAAGCATCCCTGAGTCACTTATAGCCCAGTTAAACCCTCCCATTCCCGTATCATATTTTGTGAGGTCTGGGTTGGGAATTAGCCAAGTGCATATCTAAAACACATTTAATCAGAGTATCAGACCATGTTGTTTGATGTTGCCTATAACCAATCCTCATTTGCAAAGTATCAGGGGCTAAACATGAAGAACATGCTAGTGGAAGGAGAATCCAAGACTGGTAGGCTGGATAGAGGAGGATAGCCAAAGATTGGTGCAGTTTGAGTTGAAAGTGAAGAGTTGAGAGGTGTTCGTGAGAATGACTGAAATCGAACAATAGGAACGGGGCTTAGCTCAAAGTAATTGATTTTACTTGAAATCAAAGGGGTAATAATGTAGAGCAAGTTTGTGACTTGTCAACTTATAGTACCTACTTAAATTTGGAGTCACTTTTTATTTCTTTTTTTTTTTAGGTATTTAAACATAATTCATTTTTGCACTATGATTTTAGTTAAAAAGTAAAGATTCTTACCCAAGCTAGTAAAAGTGTGGTTGATTCTTAATACAAACATTGCTTTACAAATTACCCCAAACTTCATACTATTTTTTAACCATCCAATCCAGATATAAAACCATGGGTAACCACAAGATAGTGCCATGATAAGAGAAAGTGCAGAGAAGTCCCAAAACTTTACAATGTTCCTAGAGGTTCACCAAAACCTCAGCCCCCTCTCCCCCCTAAAGATTGATAGTTTAGGGAGCCACGTGTAAGTTCAGGACTTGGTGATGAGGGGGACTGACTGCATCATATATACTATTTTCTAGGCCTTAAGTTCAGATCCTGCTTTTACAGGGTAGGATATATGATGATGATGTTAATATGTTTATCTATGATGATGATGATGTTTGCAATAATTTACAGGCCTCTAATTTCCTATTTCAGAAGAAGCTAAAAATGTTCCGAATAATTTTCCAATATATGAGGCAGAATTTAATGCTGTGATCTAATCATTGAAACATTTGTAGAACATTTTTTACCACAAAGCCTTGGAGTATTTGAACATCCAAAAGAATAAATTCCCAGGATTTGCACAATGGAGTTCTGATGTTCAATTTTTTTTTCTTTGGTTTGACAGTATGAATCTGAATTCATAGAAGAATCAGAGCTGAAATTTTACAAGAATGGAGTTCTTTCATTCGGACCATTCCACAAGGGAGAAGATGGATTGCAAGAAAATTAAGAGAACAATTTTTCAATTGAAAAGATATTCATCTAGATATATGGTTAATTGGCCAGGGATATTGTCCCCTTTGGCTACATTTAATCTTGTGGAAACAAGAATTTCAGCTATAACTTTTACCTCAACATAAAATCCATAAAAAAATTATGCTCATATAAACACTATAGATACACTTTAAAATATGCACCACCATATAAGAAAAGAAATAAGAAAAAAGAAGAACAAAAAAACAATAATAGTAGACACTACAAAACTATTTTCTATGGCAATTGTATCCCAAATATCCTATAATCCGCTGTAGTTTCAATTGCTTGTGAAACAGAGAGATCAATTTGAATTGCCTTGTCAAGGTAGAGTCAATTATTAAAAATTATTACCACGCTACGCTAGAGATCCTGATTTGTAATAGAAACAATATGACATTTAAGCAAGTCAAATGAATTGTCAATGAGATTGGGATTTACAGTACAGAAATATGCAGAGGCAAAATTAAGGGGTTACAAACTTTCCTAGCTTTGAAGAACATGTAAAGTGACGATAGTGATATTGCAATTTATTATTCGTATAATAACCCTTCACCCTTCTTAAGCTGAAATCATGAATCACAGACAACACAAAAGTACTTTGAAATAAGCCCCATAATTCAAAGAACAGGAAATTAAAAGAGGAACCCTAGAAATTTAAAACAGGGGAAAGCTTAAACTAAAAGATACGGCGAAAAAGGTTTCTAGATCTTTAGAAAATACAGATGGTATTGAGAAATGAAAACAGAAAAGAGAATAATCTCAAACTGAAAAACAAAAAACCAAAGTCCACAAAATAGGCTAATGAGTGAGGTTATCAGCATGTATTTCAAGAAACCTCATTGATGACTTGATGGTCAGATCTCCGTTTCCTATACTTCAAATCTCCGACAACGGATACTCAGATCCCAGATGCTCGGATGCTCGAACACTTGAGTAGATCTCCGTTGCCTAGAAGTAGTCGTCGACTTGATGCTCATATCTCAAATGAACGCTTAGAGTGATAATGGAAAAATAGCTGTGGATGAGAGTAAACCCTTCACCTATTTCCCTCAAGATCAACTTCGAGTGTGATTTTTACTTGAAAAAAATCGATGTAAATGCTGACATGTTTACAACTTTACTTTGATTTTAGGTGTTTTTTACTATGTTTCCAAATGCTCACAAATCCAACCCGAGATGCATATTTGTGCTGAACCAGAATTTGCATTGCATCCAAACGGAGCCTTTATTATATGATTCATCCACTAAAATATTCCGCCCCTTTTCACTCTTCTTGTCAATGTCATCCCACTCCCACCCCACCAAGCTAGGAAAAGTGGAAAACCCTCTCCCTCGGGCTCACTCACGATTACAAATTTGCAATTGTGTTGAGAGTGGCAAATAAAAAATGGACTCGAAATTGCAGTAAGATTTCTACGGATGCCATTTCCATATGTTATTCCAAGCACAAACAGTCAGCACTTGGTTAAGTAGTAGCCTACAACGTAAACCAAAACTTTACTACTCTTGTTTGAGACAAATGCTTGTATAGACTAGCCTTTTCTTTTTCTCCTGTGACTTGTGAATTCATCTTCATACTTAGGTTAGGTTAGGTTAGGCTTGTGTGCACAGACAGCATTGTTTCCGACTTTTTTGTCTTTCCATTTATTTGTTTTTGTGAGTTTGTCCTTTTCTTCTTCAGACAAACTTCCGAACTGCTTAACGGCTTAACTGAACCACCCACCATTGCTGAATAAGTAAGTAGAGACAAGGTGAATTTTGTTATTCGGGCTTCAGGTTCAGGGGAATCGCTCGCTAAACGGCTTAATTAAAACAAGTAACCCAACCCAAACAGAGAAGGCGAAGGTAAAAAGTACTTTAGTTATTTGCTGCAACAGAGTAGGACCGGACCAACTGACCAACTGACCAAGGACCAAGAAAGAATGACGCCATCGCAGGTCAGCCAGATTCAGGCACAGCAGAGCAGAGGCAGGCTCCAAACCAAACCTACCCAACTACAAATCGCCACTCCCGAGAAGCGGTGGACCCCGTAATTAAGAAAACACCTCGACGGTTCCCCTCTCCCAACTGGTTGAGTAGCAGACTAGCAGTAGCACATGTTTGCTGCTGCCTTCAACTACCTTTCAAGTTTCAACAACCCACCACTCTAGTCCGCTAACCATCCACTATACGAACGCCAGGTGGCAAGCCCCACCATCAACTTCTAGGCAAACATCGCATGGGGAAGATCCAATCAGGATTTGCCACGTGGAGCATGTGCCTAACAACATTACATATCCACTCCCATCCGAGTAATTCGAGATAAGATTCTATATGACCCAAAACTTATCATCCATCCATGATCTGTGCTTTGCACACCTTTCCCAAGTTAATCCCTTATGTTATTGCATGGACACTGCCTGAAATTGAAGCCTCAGCGGCTCAGCCTCAACTCTCAACGCAGTCAGTAAATGTCTAAATGATGAACAATACTCAAGGGCGACGATACTAAAAACGACTTGAAGCCTCATGCACAACAGTCGACGGATGATGATATGTCCAGGAAATGAGGGCGAGATAAAGCATCTTCAATCAGTTTAATTTAACAACCCAAAACCAAAACTTGTCAAGCAAAGGGATGAAGAATCAAAATTTACATCACCAAAATCTGAAGAGAATTAAATCCAGGAAGCAGGAAGCAGGAAGCCTGCCGGACCAAGAAGAGCAGGCAAATCATCAGTTGGCAGTAACTCAATGGATATTGCAGTATACAAAACCAACCTAAAAAGAATACATGCATGACACAACACAGAACAAATTATGTAGATGTTGATAAGAAAATGGGAAGAAAGGAACACCAATATCATGCGGGTTTCAGTATATCACCACATAATTAATAACACAGTCAGTTCAAAACTAAATAGACCAGATCCATTGTACCCAGAAGCAGAAACCAAATTACACTTGACACAAAACCTCTAAAACTAATACCTACAAATATGATTTCATTTACCCAAAGCCGCCTGCAAAACGCTCCATCCCTGGTAGAATTGACGTTCCAAGTTTCCAACCGTTTGCTCACCCATCTCATCCCCAACAACCATTCCTGCAACAAACACAAAGAATGAAGGTACCTCTTTCCAAACAGAATTATAAATATGGGCATTCAGATGGGAGAAAAAACAAATCTGAGAAGGTAAACATTTATTTGATAGGAAAACAAAAGGCTACAGAGCAATGAATTTTACTAACATGTCTTCTTATTTACATAAAACCGGCAAGCAGAGCCAAAGATCCCTCAGTAAGAACCTCCCACCGTTGGAGGGACAAGGTCATCAAAGCTCCAGAGGTCTATCGAATTTTCAGCATCTTGAGTTGGCTCCCCGCTGAAGAGGCTATCAATTGAGGCATCCCAGCTCCCCTCAAGATATGGCATTTGAAGGAACTTCATCTGGGAYTCAAAGGCTGAAAGTTCTTCAGACAGGGTATTTGGTGTGCTCTCCTCTATAGGAGCCACACCCTCAGATCCTGTCCTCAGCTTTTTCTTTGGGTTAGCATCTTCAAGGAACTCGGACCCATCACTTTCTATAGCAGTTGAGAGAACTGATGAAATTTCCGGAGTCTTAGGCTCTTGATCTCCCCAACTAAAATCAGAACAGCTGAACGAGTTACTCTCTTGATCTGAATTAAAGGCAAACGGTTTGAATTCGGCTGGGTTTCCAATGACAGGGAATGAACTCATATACCCAGATCCCTTAATTGAGGTCTTCTCTTCTACAAATCCCATGGTATCATAGAAGTTGGCATCTGGGTTATTGGTGAAATTGAAGCTGTGTTTCTCAGATACCGAGTTAGGCTTGGAGAGTACGTTCTGAGGGTTAGGCTTCGAGGTATGCTTTTGAGCTGTTTGGGGAGCCTCTTCAGGGAAATTCACCTTGGCTTTCTTGCCTCGAATCCTCCGTGCTTCAGCATCATAAGCCCTTGCAGCTTCTTCAGCAGTGTTGAAGGTTCCAAGCCAGACACGGACCCCCTTCCTAGGATCCCTGATTTCAGCTGCCCATTTTCCCCATGGCCTTTGCCGGATTCCCCTGTACTGATTCTTTCTCTTTCTCTTGGCAGATTTCTCAGCAGGACCACTGACTTCTACTGATTTTACAGTAGTGGAACCTTGTGTAATTAAAAAAAAAAATTAGCATCACTAAAATGCAACCACGACTTGGAGAATACAGAAGCACAAGCATCAACATACAATAGGAAAATGAATCTTTCAAGTCATATATTAGGGATTTTTTTTCTGGTGTGTGTCTATTGGGGGAGGGGGCTAAATCAATTCCTTCTGCCCTTCCGTTTCTACTGAAGAAAGAAAGAAAAATTCAAGCAGAAACGTAACCAGAAGAAATTGATAATTTAGTTTAAAGAACACTAATGATACATCCTTGTTCTCTTGATTATATTATTTTTTCAATGGTTGCATGGGATTCATATGGAATCATACATAGTCACGTTGAAATGTTTTTGTTTAGCATGATTAACTCTCAAGGACAACAATCAGTAGCCTTTCTACTACTAAAAGTATGATAGTGCATAGCTTGTTCCCAGACAATTAGTGGAAGATCTATCAAACTGATCCTTATATATGGTAGACTTCAAGTAATGGATGCATTAAAAGAGCTTGACTGGGTACGTAAAACCATCAAATAAATGGATGCTTTCTGAAAAATATCATCCTTATGTTCTGATCGTTAAAAAAAAAAAGATTCATATTCAATTTGAGTGTTTTTTATATAAAAAATAACCTTCAGCTAAGACTTGGATCAGTGAAAATGTTCATAGTTCTTATAAAGTTATAATACCATCGGTAATATCTAATTCTGAAGAATAGTAGTCAAGGATCTAAGAAATGCGTGTCCGGCTCCTAATAACTAAAGGTTTCCTTGATTTCCAATCCGTTACCTTCTTTACAATGTTTCTCCAACAAAGGAGAAACAGTGCGAAAAAAAATATGCAAACAACGTTAATTAACAACAGAAAAGGAAAATAGGAGAAATTTATAACAATAGAGAGACGGATGAAACCAAGGTTTTCCCTTAAAGGATTCCTAAATTTTTAAAGCAGAAAAGGCGACTCAAAAGAAAAGAAAATTCTAAAATCTTAAGAAAAAAAGTTTCGACAAGAAATAAGATCAAATCAAAATATTCCAAGCAAGCAAGACTACTGTGGACGAACAACCAGGTAAGTAGGAAACACCACAGAAAATTTTCTAAATAGAAATTTAAACATTTCAGGGATGGACGTCTGCAAGCACTAGTACAGAAGATTTAAGCCAGTAATACGCGGAAAAAAAAATAGGAAGCAGTTATAAAAATCCAAGCTTTGCAGGGAAAACACAGAAACCCAAAAGAATAAGAGATCAACCAGGAAAGAGGAGGCCCATCAAAGATCCTCCAAAATCCACATCGGTAATAAATGATCAAAAGGATAGGCCAAGCAAAGACCGCCTGTTTCTATACATAAATAAATTCAGCAAGAAAATCTCAAAGGGAAAGCCCATTTCGTAAATTCGTCCAAAAATAGCAGCGAATATCAGAAAGAAAATTCAAGCAAAGAAAATCTACCATGTTAGACAAATAAACAACTCAATAAGGAGATACCGAAAAAAAAATCAGGAAACCCATCTCAAAGTTCACAGAAAATAAGATCAAAAGCCGAAATTACCCAGAAAAAGAGAACAAATAGAGTCTAGTACCTCGAGAGAGGCCAGGTTTGGAGTTTAACAAAATGGGCTTAATATCTTCTTCTTCTTCCTCCGATTCGTCCTTGAACTCCTGAAAGTCCGCCTCGAAATCCTCCTCGAGGTCGTCGATCTCCGATCTACGGGGCTTTGAGTAGTAGTCCCCAGAAGTGGTATTCTTGAGGTCCGGCCACAGGTAATCAGCTGTGACGCGCCGGGTCCGACTCGTCGGGATGAAATCAGAGATTATAGCTCCTCCACACATCTTAGCTTTCTATAACAAGAACGCACGTCTGATGGTTACCAACGAATTGGATTGCAAGCGAAAGAGTGTAGATTCTCGGAAAGAAAGTTTTGTATAGAAAAGGGAAATTGAAGTGAAGTTGGCAAGGAAAGATATTGAAATGTTGAGTTTGGTGTGTTTATAAGACGGAGAGACAGAGGGGGAAAGAGAGAGACAAAGAGACTTTATACTCTGAGAGGCAGAAATAATGGAGAGCTTTTCAGATTTTTAATTTTTTATTTAATTTAATTGGGCACTAAAAGGCAGAATATTAAACCTTACCTTAGAGAGTTAGAGGAGAGGAGCTTATAGAATCGTAATTACGAGTTACCCTTACAAAAAGTTGTTAATTAGAGCTGGAGCTGGACGTCAACTTGTTTAGGTGATTGAGAGAATTGAGATGGGTCATGGGTGTGTGTTTGGTGGGGGATTACACAGCTTGTTTCAATTAAAGTGTTTTGATTTTGATTGCTTTTCTTTTACATTTTGCTCTGCAGTGCAGTGCGCCAGTTGCTTGCTTAATTAAGCGAAAACTCCTACGGTCCTACCCACTTGGCCTTTGTAAAGACTAAATTACCCCTGTGCTTTGATTCAAAAATTTTGAAATGAATCATGATGATCCGGAGAAGCATAACCCGAAGCCATACATACTAACCAGATCAGTATTCAGTAGGCCGGCTTCGACTTGTCGTCTTGTACTCTTTGTCCCCAGTTGCACTCGACTCCACTTCTAGTGCTCGGTAAAAAAGAAAGAAATATATTTGCTTGATGACCCCATTCCCGTACTCGTTGTTGAAATTTGAAAACGCAGAGTGGATGTTGACCGTGAATTTATATTTTTCGATCGGGCACTGGCTGGCAGAGGGCAGAGGCACTGCGGCAGCCGGCAGGTCATGCCATGAATGGTTCAACTCAACCGCTGGATGTTTGGATAAAATATATGGAGAAAACGAATATTCGAAATAACAGCAAGCTAATCCCCCATATAGCCATTTTCCGGCTTGTGATGGTCTGAATGGTCCATCTAGCTCCGGTCTGCTGTCACCATTCTGACCAACTGGACCATTTTGCTCCGTATAAACAAACCCGTTTGTTCTATGATTGATTAACGAGAGTCGAGAGGGGAATTAATGCTTATTTTTTGTCAAACAACAAAAATTATGTTATTTAATTTATATTTCCACTGTAATTTTGTGACAGGCATGGCTAGCGGCATTTGTGTAACAACAAAGTATGACTTCTGGTTTAGTTTGTGGAATACAAATATACTGTAAAAACTATATATTGTTGTATGAGAAGATGACTATTCAAGGATGAATTACCTTCCATTCCATGCATCAACATTGATGATAGTCCTCCTTAGCTTCTTGAAAACTGGCATACCTAACCCAGAGAAGAGTTGGACGTTTCAGCCATTTTGACTGCACTAGAGAAAAACATATATATGTTGATAACCCAACCTTGTTTCATTCAAACACTTTATTTGTCTTTCTAGAATAATGCAGACGTGCTTCCATGTTCCATCTACCTATAATGCCCTTAATTATCATTACTACTCATTTCCATTGTTTTAACAATGCTTATTATTGGTTAGATAATTCTTCTTTCATTTTTGATTTTTTTTTTAATGTAATTAATGTTAAATGCCACCTCATTTATTATTTTTTTCATTGATCCTGCTCATAATTACTAGTTGTGTCACAATTTTCCTCTCATGTAAATGTCAGCCCTAATGCTTCTGTTTAATTGTTTACAACATTTTTCGTTTTGTTATCCTTTGAACTCCATCCTTTTGCTACACTTTTTATGATGATTAATTAAAAGGGTAATTTAGCGTGTAAATTGTAAAAAAAAAATGAAATAAAATAAATTATGACACCTTTCTTGTGCAAATTCTCACTGAAATTGTCGCCAGTGCTAGCGAAGTTGGAAATGTCGAAATGAGAGAAACCAGACAGTAAAGCCTCTACTTTTTGTTCGAATGTTGAACCAAAAAACAGTTTAGGGTCCCAAACTAGATCTAAATGGCGGCCTGGCCCGATCTAAAAAAAGAATTTAGGTTGGACTGGATAATCAATCACCGCTTTTAGATTCGGTTCTCAGGACAGTCAGGTCTGATCGATGGACCCAATTATATATGTATATGGTTCAAGTTAGGTTTAAATCGGTTCATGACTAGATAGAATCAATTTCGAACTGATTCATTAATATCAAATCCTGAAACCATAACTGCCCCAATATGTTTGGGTCTGATCCATTTACAGCTCTATACAAAGCTCACCTGATTCAAATTTTATATACACACACGAGTTTTCTATTTGTACATATTTGCACATTTTTCAGAGACATGCGATTTGTAATGGTAAAATCTATAAGGGTTTTGACCAACCAAACACTTATGTAAATTGCCATGAATACTACCTAATTGATCACCTGTTATAATTTTATAACACCAAGTTTTTCCCACATCATGTTTTTCCGGTATCATAGTTGAATCCATATGTAATTAATTTGATGGAGAGTGGATCACTCAACAAGATTACAAGCCTTTAGGTTTTGTGTTCCATCTCAAATGAGTTATGGACTTGAGAAAATCATAGGGTGCAACTTAACTGAATCAAGTCAACTTTTGACATGTCTTGAGTTATTTTGATTAAAATACTGTTAGTTTGTCAATTCGAAGTTTCGAACTGCACCTAAGCCTTAGGTTTGACGTCAGCGGTTCAAGCTCGAACTTAGGCCATTGGGGTTGGGTTGAGCCTAAACTCGGCTCCATCTGTCCGACATGCAATGATGCACCCATAGGCCATAGAGCAGTAGAGCACATCCACACGTTCATTGAAGCCCGATACCTTGAAGTCGGTTTCTTAATCTTCACGAGTTTAGTAAGATACCTCGAGTTTATTTATTTGTTAATTAAAATAGCCGCACTAGCTTTATTTATTTCATTCAGTAGGATGGCAATTTAATAAGGGAGCAAACCGATGGAGGGTAATTTGGGAAAGATAAGATGCTTTTTTAATCTTTCCATATCTTGCCCACGTGATCTGATATTGTCAGAGCCAAATGTATAATTTACCAGGGACGACCAGCCGACCAAGTTAGGTCGGCCTAGTAGAAATTGAATATATAGCACCGAATCCGAGTGGGTAAAACAGTAAGTTCAACCAAAAGAAAAACGGTAAAAACCGTAGGCGGTAGGTGCATGCATGGAATCTGCCGTAAATGAGGAATGAAGGGGAAGACAAAAATAAGGAAAAAGCGAATGGAMGAGAAGAAAAAGAAAGGAGTGTGGGACCCCCCCCCCTCCCCCCTGTGGGAGAGAGACAGAGAAAGAGAAGGCTCAAAGACTGTGTCTTGTAATTGTAGCGACTGCCGAGTGCCGACTAGCGACAAATGAATTGAATCGGTTCGGTTTCGGTCGCCAGCGGCCAGCGCGACAGACTTGGGGTCTTGGTTCTTGGGGATGATGAGCAACACGTTTCCCCCCTTCCCTCCATGCTGACGTGCTCTCAATCATCTCTTTAATTGCCCTTTAACTTATGCTAAGACCAACAACTCGCCACATGGCACAGGATTTAAAAATTGGATCCATTATCTACGTCTGCCCCAGATTAAAAAAAGAAAAATTCGATCGGGCCAAAATCTAACTCATATTTCCATTTGGTTCGGACGGTGGAGAAAGGTTGTGTTTGGATGCGGGGTAAAGTCTATTTGAAGTGGGACCCGACCCAAATACCATCATCGAGCGAGTCCAAATCGTATCCTTACCCATACAACACCTGGCAAGTGGCAAGTTAAATGGATTCCTCTCACTCCCAGGTTCCATTTTTGTTGAAAATTGAAATAAAAAGCAAAATGCCAGTAGCACTATAGCAGCTGTACTGTACAGTATAGGCTATAGAGTATAGAGCAGAGGCATAAATCAAAGTGGACCCAGACCCAGGGTGTCACCGCACCACTTGGGCTCCATTCATTTCATACCCCCAAGTGTGCGTCTTATCAGAATTGTTCTTTCATTAAAATCATTAGAAGCAATAATGTCCCCACGCTCGGGCCAATCCTCACCGAGTCACCGGCGACAAGCGACAAGCTTTTCTTGTCCGGTGAGGGACGTCGATTGGTGTGGGGTGTAGTTGTATACTTGGTAGATAGATTATGAAATCTTGGGTGATGTAACGATCATGGGGTAGGGTCATTGTTGCAAGTTGCATCCAAACCAATGTTTATCCGTTTTACTGGAGCAATAAGGAGACGATCCAAGGTATGAAATCTTAAGTTTTATTTATTTATTTATTTATTTATTTTGTGGGTAAAAAAAGACAAAGGACAGGCCAGTGATGGTGACTGCTTGGTCTCCCAGCAACACTGTGTGATTTATTATTAACGCATCTTAACAATACTTACTCATATTTACTGGTGGTGCGTCATTATTAATTAAGGCTTTAATATTAGTGCCTTATTGATTAATGAAATAATCAAGGGAGAGGGACATTTTTGACATTTTGACATATATTGCAATTTACAACTTGCAAGGGAAAGGTGGCGCTTTACGCTGCCTTTTCTTTCCTCTTATCTTCTTCTTTTATATCATCATGAAAATTAGTTATTTAGCAGCTTGTTTTTTCCTACAATTGTTATGACAAAATATTATTATTTAGAGAGAGAATGTACAGAGTACAGCCAGCTATATCAAATTCATCTTACGAAGGATGATAAGGGCACCAAATCATATTTTCTTTACCAACTTGTCAAAACTGGAATCGCTTTGAACATCTGTTTTATGGGTAAATGGTTTGATCATCCCATCCAAATAAATTAGCCCGTGATAATTTTGAAAATTAAAAATAAAACTGCCCAAAGTTGTTGTCCAATCAACGGTTCGACCAGGTCAGTGGAAAAACTGACCAATCCAATACCAATAGTTTTTAGCAAAAGAGTGGTTTAGGTTTGAAATGGAATTGATCTTCCTCCAATTTCCGGGTCAAGTGGTCCAACCATTCATGTCAATAATGGTTTGAAAACCATGATCACTGCATCACAACTAGAATTTCCTAAGAAGACCTGTTTGGGGGTGGCCTTTGGGCTCATTTTACACTAATTCATTCTCAGAGTTTTAAATCAGATCCATTCAAATTTTGGCAAAAAAACCAAGCCCGAACCCCACA